AAAAATTGTTGTGAATCTCTGTGCTCCGATAATAATCGAATTTCTAATCTTGTTTGTTTTAGGAAACTTTACGTTCGTAATATGAAAGAGCACAATCGTCGTACAAATCTTTTGGGGAAATTGGTTTCAAATACACTGAAAATGCAAGTGTGTGAATGTCGCTCACCTGCAGGTGAGCGACATTCCATTCGTACACTTAGGGGGGTAAACGTGTGAATTTTTCCTAGAAAATGCATTCCATTTTTGCATTTCCAGTGTAGAGTGTTATAGTACTTTTGAAGCTTTCTTCAAGTATTTTTTTAGACAACTTACTGAAAAATTTCGTACCTTAAATAGTATTGATCTGCTCACCAATCATTCATATTTTAAATTAATTGCTGGCTGGAATATAAATATTGAAAAGGATTTCCTCACGCCTCTCACACACTTAATCTGAAAGGACTTTTATTGTCCATGGAAAGGCGCGTTTTTGTACACATCTCAACCGGATGCACACTCTAAATGTCAAGGGACAATTTTGTCCGTAGATTTGCAACGATTTCGTGCACATCCAGAAAGGATGCAATTTTGTTCCCTTAATTGGACAAATTGTGTGAAGTTTCACACAATTTGTCTAGTTTTAGGAACAAAATTGCATCCTTTCTGGATGTGCACGAAATCGTTGCAAATCTACGGACAAAATTGTCCCTTTACATTTAGAGTGCAGATTGGAATCTCAAAAGTGAGGTATTTGCATCTTAAGGATGGACAAAAAAATAACTGTCCAGAAAAAGGATGCTTATTTGTCACTTGCTGGATTCAAATCTGCATCCCGCTGAGATGGGCACAATAACGCGCCTTTCTATGGACAATAAAAGTCCTTTCAGATATAGTGTCCTCAAAGGCAGTTTTCTCAACTACAGTAAAATTCAATTTATGAATCAATGTCAAGTTCTTAACATGCTCGCAGGGAGGCGCTGCGGATCGTCTTGGACGCTACCTGGGCCGTGACGTGCACCCGCATCTTGATCCAGTCTGTCGCGGAGCTAGACAACCTGGTCCGCTTCATCGACGCCATCCCCCCGCTAAGGAGTCTCAGTGCCAAGCAACGGGCCGCCGTATACGCCATCCGAGGACGACTCGCGGGACCAGGTGACTTTTCAGTAGGATCGAGGAAAGCGTTGATCGGCAAGTTCGCTACACTCTAAATGTCCAGGGTCAGTTTTTGTCCATTGTCATGTGCATCTGTGAGCGCATCTTGCAAGATGCAATTTTGAAGTTTTTGTAGTGACAACATTTTAGATATTATCTACATGTTGTAAAAATTTGTCCACCAGGAAGATACCAATTTCTCACTTCTATGGATTCGAAATTTGCAAGATGCGCTCACAGATGCATCTTGCAGACGAATATTGTCCCATGGCATTTAGAGTGTGGAGCACGGACTAATTCCTAATTCACACTTGCACTGTCAAATTTCCTGTCACGATGACGACAATACCATGACTAATTTTATCACAGTGATGTCTGCACGGGTATACTTGTCATCAGAAAAAGGGAAAAGGCGATGTGACAAGAAAACCCATGCCGACGCCGACATCCGCCTGTTTCTAGTACTAAAAGTTAGCCGTGGTCCGTGTTATTGTTGTCATCGTGACACTAACATTTTAAAGTGTACTTCTTGATTCAAGCTCCAACATTCTCGGTTTGAGTCGAAATTGGGCTTGAATCAAGTGCCAAAGACACATGCACCCTTAATTAATTAATCTGAAAGGACTTTTCATGTCCTTAGAAAGACGCATTTTTGAACACATCTGAACCGGGTGCAGATAGGAATCTAGCAAGTGAGGACTTTGCATCTTAACGATGGACAAAAAATAAATGTTCAGAAAAAGGATGGAAATGTGTAACTCAATGGATTCAGATCTGTGCATCCGGTTGAGATGTGCACAAAAACGCGTCTTTCTATGGACAATAAAAGTCCTTTCAAATGTAATGTGTATACACTAACTTGATTTGTAGTTGTGTTATTTGTACTCAGTAATACAACCAAATTTTTTTTGCGCAAAGTTCTGCGTTGATTTGAAAAATTTCGTGCATGCATGTGCACGAAACCACACATTTTTGTGCACAAATTTGACCAAATCTAATCGGTATATTTACTTGACACAGAGACGTCAGCGCCACTACATAAACACAGTTAACATGTCTCCTGTAATCCTTGTCCTTCTTGTTCTCGCAGACGGCGAACAGTGGTTCCGTAAGGCGATTTCGATCAGCCCCGAAGAGGGGAAATGGCGCTACCTGCTGGGCTGGATCATTCAGGACCGGCGCAAGTGCCTCGGCACACCATCTCTTGAGGAGGTAGGGATGCACTTAAATCCTCACTCAGGAAAGCATGTTCTTGACGCTGATTCCTAAAGAACATTTCAAGCAGGGCATTGCACCAATGCAATTTGTATTGGGACAAGACAATGATGTCATCGGATCAGCTGAGTATACATTTACTACCGCACTCAAGAACACGCTTTTATGGGTGCAGGTTCGATATCTTGACCACTGTTCTAACCCACATGTGTAAAAGTACAAAACTGTAACTGCCAACGTAATGTGTGTAATTTGGAACTGATGATGGAGTTTATCGTTGCCTACTTATAGCGCTGGTCTTTTTTTCGCTCTATATTTTACTTTGTAACAAACCTATACTCGGAAAAAAACTAGAAAACCTGCAGGTTTTTTCCATGGAAAACTCAGGGAAATTTAAAACAGTCAGGGTAAAGGCAAGGAAATTTGTTCTGGTCGGTCCCCAAAGTGCATTATATCGCCATCGTCAAACACACATTTCGACTTCCAGGTGGGGTGCTTTGACATGGTTCCCACAAGTCTGGAAAACCTGGAAAGTCTTGGAAAGTCCTGGAAAAAAATATGGTCCTGGAAAGTCTTGGAATGTCCTGGAAATTGGTTGGACTGTCCTGGAAAAATCGAATTTATAGAATTTCACGATACGTTTATTTTTAATTTGGTATCAAAGTAAGAATTTTCACATTCTCATAGGACAATGCTGGCCTGAGCGCAGCGACCCGGTTCGGACCCGATTGCATCCGAATTTTTTGGCGTTTGAGTAGCGTCTTATAGCTGGCAATAAGGTTCGTACGCCACCGCACCGCAACCAGCATTCGGGTCTACTGGACCCGATTTTGGCGCTTCTGTTTTCGGGTCACCTGGTCCCGTCGCGCAGCAACCGGGTCCATCTCAACCGATTCTTCCGAGATCTGCCTCTTCCAGCAGCCAGCCGAGGCAACGGGCCAATGGCAGCGCGCGGCTAACGTAGCAGCCGGAGGTGGGGGAGGAATCGGTTAAACCGGTTGAGAATTCGAGAATTCGGTTCGGGTCGGTCCGGGTCAGGAAGAATCGGGTCGGGTCGGGTCGGGTCCAGAAGCGACGCTTTCGGTTGCGATTCGGGTCCAAACCGGGTCGCTTCGCTCAGGCCAGGGACAATGGGGCAATTCACATATGTTTGTGATGATCCCACCTGAAGTATTATTCACAGCTTTATCGTTAAGTCTCACTAGTCTCTGATATTTCATTGTAAATTGTCATGGAAATTTTAAAAATTTAGTCTGTAAAGTCCTGGAAAAGTCCTGGAAAACGCCAGGAGCCAAAATGTGGGAACCATGTTTGACCCAAAATGTTTTGCGCTTGCTTCTCTTGCGGGCTTCTTATACGATAAGGCTCGGCAAGCTCGCTTTAAGGCTTAGATGCGAGGGTATTTGTTTGCTCCTGTACTTCACCAGGAACCAAAAATTTAGCTAGAAAGGGTCTGGACATCAGACGAAATTCAGGGGAAATGGAAATGAAAATTATGTGGGAACCATGTGAAATTGCACCTGAGGGAGCCATAACAAAATTACCGGCCGAAATTGACATTTGTCTTTGCATTAAGAGCGACAATATTAACACATCTTTCTGCAATAATTTAGCATTGCAACAAAACAAGGGTAAATAGGCTTAAACTTCGGTGTACGTTTTCTTGAACTTCGGTGAACTTCGGCGAACTTCGGTGAACTTCGGTGATCTCTAGTGAACTTCGGTAACTTTGGTGAACTTCGCTAAACTTCTACAAATTTTCTTGAACTTCGAACTGACTAAGAGCCATGAAAGCAAAATTCTCACTCCGTAACCGTTGAAATTCAAAACGTAAATATCTGCTTTAAGTAAGCTGGGGATTCAGTTGTAGTAATCACTCAAAATCACTAATTTCAGCCTTAAATATGTACTAATTTATTTTGAACTTCAGTGAACTGTTACGATTTATTTTGAACTTTGGGCAATTTAAGCATTTTATTTTAAACTTCGAGGAACGTTGACGTTTGATTTTGAACTTCGTCGAATTTCAGTGAACTTCGATCGAATTTTACAAAGCGAACTTCAGTGAACTTCGGCTGAACTTCGGCCGAAGTTCATGAACTTCGACTTCGGGTGTACGATTTTTTGGAGCCTGTTTCCCCTTGCAACAAAATGTGTATCGCTTTTATTGCAATTACGAATTCTTTGCATTAAGAATTACAGTGCTGGAAGTGGTAAGCGAGAGCTAATGTTGAATGCTAGCCGCGTCTTCAGAAGCTTGCCACTCTTACAATATAGAACTGCGCACTGCGCATTGTTTTCAGTGCTGCGCGTTAACCGAACTGGATGCTTCTTGGGTACCTTGGTGTTTTTTTTTTTAATTATTATTTTATTTCAGTACGGCCTTCTGTCCGACGCCTACCGCTTACGGAACAACCCGGATACTGTGGTGCGACTTGCGAGAACACTCACGGACATGGGATCCAAAGTCGACCAGATGAGAGCGGAGACACTTATGAGTGAAGCCATGATGAAGTGGCCGGAACATCCTCGGGTGCTTACGCAGGTGAAACAGCAGAAGCGGATGTGGAGTATCTTTGAAACTTGGAAGTGTTCAACATTTCGGTTAGCCATGAAGCTTTGGACACTTTCAGTTGTTCAACTTTGGTGTTGAACATTTAAAAGTATTCAAATCATTCAAACACATATAAGTGTGTCACATAGTGTTAAGCACTTGCATGTGCATGAACGCCACAATGTTATCTCAAGTGCGATTAATTTTAAACAATTGCATGTGCGATGAGAGCCCAAAAGCGATTCCCAGATTCACACACATTATTGCACCTGGGGGAGCCATAAAAAATATCGCACTGAATTGACACTCGTAATTGTATTAAGTGCAATACTTTTAACGCATTATTCTACAATAATTTATCATTGAAACAAAATATGTTACAATTATCGCATTCAGTGAATGCAATGACGAAGTTTGCACACTTGATTCATCAGTGCTGAGAACGAACTATTTTCTTACTTGGTTTCCTCAGATGAAGAATGAGCATGGTAAAAAGGAGGAAAAGGGGAAAACTTTAAGGAACTCCTATGTTTGAGGAAGAGTCCCCCGATTTCGCTTTAGATTTTGAGGAATCTTCTCCAAAAATGAAAAACTCCACATTTTTTGAAAAGACTTCCTCGGAATATTAGGAGATTTCGTCAAACCATGGGAGTCCCTCAACGATTTCTCTTTTCCCTAAAAGAAATGAGACATTGATTTGACCGTGACAGGCTGATTGGCAGCGAAGAAACACACGGTAAATCAATGTCTCGTTTTTAAACTTTTGAGGACATAGCCTTGAAATCTGGTGAGTTTTCCTCGAACCAAGAGAGTCTCTCAAAGTTTTCGGTTTTTCGTCAACTAATCAGACATTGTTTTTTACCGTGCAAGTATGATATGTATAAGTGTGCATAACAACGAGTCACATGAAAACTTTAAACCCTCACAGAAGACCACGTTTCTTGATAAAGAAAGTGTGTATTGATGCACTCTTTTCCATGCAAAAGGATAATAGGGGCATTACAAGAGTGCATCAAGACGGGTAACATGTAGTTTTCCATTGGAACTTTATCATCAAACCTTGTTCCCAGGAGACCGAGGAAATATCCTGCTTAATTCGCTCTCCTAATAAGCGAGAATCCTCGCTGCCCTGTGGATGATGAATGACTAATACGAAGGGATTGGTGGCACTTTTATACATACACTATTATTCAAACACTGCGACGTCACATTTCAATTAACTCTGACTTGTGTCACATTGGATGGAATACTATGTCACATGGGTTGTAACGTGACAAACGTACGCCCCCCATGGACTTTGCCCGTGAGGGCAGATCGAGGGGCAGAGCGATGCAATTTTAATTCTGTCACGTTCTAACGAATGTGATATGATATTCTAAGAAAAGTTACAGAATTCATATTATAGTGTATCTGACGTCACAGTGTTGGAATAACAGTTAATGCAGGCAGGCCACCCGGCGTTACCTTTTCTCACCTCTTTTCTTTTTAATAGACGGTTCCGGCAGTGCCCGTTTACAGAAGAATTAAGGAAATCACCGGAAACAGTTCTAAAATACAGGTTAAAACCAATGCAAATGAACCTTGACAGTCCCTAGGGAGGTACTGGAGTTAAGTTACGTCGATCCGCGCTGTTAAATAAGAATAATAGGCGAAATTAAGTACTTGTTCCGGTATCGAATTCCTTACTTCTTCACGAAACGCGCACAGCCGGAACCTTCTATTGCCAATTTGCTACCAGACCCTAACATTTTGCCTCCTTTACTCACCATTCCGTAGGTAGCGTCCATCATGACGATGATCAAGCACATCCCACCAGCCGAGACTTTCGTGTACTCCCGCGCGCTGTACTTGCGCGTGCTGTCCGTCTTCGGCGAGCGCGCCTTCATCCACTTCAAGCTCGGCGCACTCTGCATGATGCACGGGGAGGCTCAGCAGGCTGGCTGGCACTTTGAGCGCGCCCAGCGTCTGAACCCGGCCGTCGCCGCGAAGATGAACATGCAGATGGCAGCTTTGTCAGCTTTGTCACGCTAGCGAGGAAACAGATTTTTTCAACTCTGGTTTCACGCTAGTTAAACTCTCTAAGTTTGGAACCAGGAGTTGCAACTAAAAACTAATTGAATGGAACCCGTTTTTTCTTTTATTTCATCCACCTTCTCAGTAAAATCTCACAAGGCCTATGCTTAAAAATCACCTATTGTAACATGTTTAAGTGTTCTACACTCCAAATTTTGTTCCTAATACGGCAACGTTTTCGTACACATCCAGGTCGGATGCAGTTTTGATCTTGTTTGCCCAGGTTTTGGAAAACATATTGCATCCGTTCTGGCAGGGGGTAGAAACGAGGCGCTCCAGCCGTCCACCATGCGCGCCCCCGGCCGCGCGTGAGCCGATCCGTGCACTCCCTGTTTCTTCTCACTTTTTAACATGGTTTGATACTTGGGCCAACCGCAACAGTAGTATCGGTCGAAAGGGGAAAGTTCAAACTTTACAAAGGTACCACTAAAATCCACCTCCAACCTCATTCCATCGAGAAAATTTGATTTTAGTGAACTTGCAGGCCACCCGGGGACGCCACCTGCGCGCAAACGAAACAAATTTTCACGAAATAGGCGCAACTGCATTTTAAAGCGAGTGTAGCCCTAAAAAAATTAATAAACGAGCTTTTGGCTGGGATAGGTGTCCTCCCGTCGGATCGAAGTATGGCCTAGATTTTATAAATATTCGGAGATGTGAAACCGGCAGCCATTTTGGTTTCGCAACTTTGATATACATTTTAAAAATACCCAAGTGTTTACAGCGAAGCAGGAGGTAGCCAATGCTGAGCAACGTTTTATGAGCTCGATTTCTCATACCGTCGGTGCGCTTCTGCTGGATTGCAACAACAGCGTCAGTGACAGAAGTTTATATTTAGTTATTTATCGTTGCTGGTTGTCAGTTTGTGCACATATTATTGCATATTACGGTGGACCATAACCTCTGCCAACACGGACTCTTGACATTTTGTACCAGAGGTAAGTTGTTTTAATGTTTGAACGATCTCAATGTCGGAGGCACCTCCGGAGGTTATCACGAACGCCTGAGTAAATCTCAAATTTTAACTGAATCGGCATTAGTTTTGAATACAAACTCGAACGGCATTCGAAAGCTCATAAAACGTTGCTCAGCATAGGCTACCTCCCGCTTCGCTAATGCAAACTTCTATTTGGGCCAGAGAAGACTTCGGCTTTGAAGGAGAAGGACACAATTCTCAGCAATATTCAAATGGAATAGAAATTGGACAAAAATATTTGACTGGGGCGAGATGGCACAAGTCTGCGACTCGCCCCAGCCCCAAAATCGGGGCGAGTTAGCCTTGGGGCGACTTGTACCATGGGGCGACTTGGATGGGGCGAGTTGTCCGTCTCCCGTTTGATATTGTGTTGATAAACGTAGGGCCCCGTGCGTTAACATTATGCACGGGGTATGCACATAAAAACCAGAACAAAACTATACCGAATGAGGGTCCGCCTTGGAGGTAGGCAACCGTTGTCTGCTCCTAGAACGAAAGAGATTTGAGGGGGGGGGGAGTCGCTTCCAATTACTGTGTCTCTTTTTTTCT